CAGTGGCCAACCAGTTCCTGTGGAGGGCCAACAACAGGCCATAGAGGCCGAGGCCTTCCCCAATAAGAACCTAAGAAGAGCTTTTGACTGTCAGTTTCACTCAGCCATACGCAAAGAATCTTTGCCATCCTTGTTTCCTCCTAATTTTAGTTCTAATAGGGAAAAAGTTATTCAGTATCTACCAAAGGATGTTAATCCTAATATTACAGCTTTAGTGGCCAAGTTTCTTGCCGAAGCAGTCAAAGTTAGATCTATTCTCGTAAAGGAATGATACATATTGTTTATTATGACCCTAAGTATCCATCCTGTGTCATTGTATATCCATGTATCTTACTGCTATGCCATTAAAGGTGTTTGACTTTGACCTAAGAAATAGCCCTGCTGGATCAAACTAGTGGCCCATCTAGTCAAGTTTCCAGTCTCAAACAGTGGCCCACTAGTTCCTCTGGAAGGCCAACAACAGGGCACAGAGGCTGAGGTCCTTCCTTGACGTTGCCTCCAGGAACTGGGATTCAGAGGTTGACTGCCTCTGAACGTGGAGGTTCCCTTTAGTCACAATGGCTGGTAGCCACGGACAGACCTCTCCTCCATGAATCTTTTCCAATCCCCTTTTAAAGCTGTCTGCTCCTGTAGCTATCACTACATCCTCTGGCAGGAAATCCTTTCCTTCTGTTGTCCATCCTGAATCTACCGCCCATCCCCTTCACGAGATGCCCTTGAGTCTACTCTTTGGGGAGAGGCAGAATGTCCAGTGTCTCCCACCCATGTCATGGATCATTTCTATGATGTTCCCTCTGGAATCCTGACACAGGTTGGTGGGCGCAACCCCAAAATGGCTGCCGCGGGAGGCGGAGCCAGCCACAAAGTGCCAGTGAGGGAACTCATGCCTAACCCTAACGGTAGCTCTTTGACACGCCTGGCAGAAGCTCTGCTCAACAGGAAGCCTTTTATTCATTTATTTATTTTATTGCATTTATATCCCGCTCTCCCCGCACGCGGGCTCAGGGCGGCTTATCAAAACACAGGTGTAATACAACACCACCGTTAAAACAATTAAGGCACACAGTGCGATAAAATACAGTTAAAACAATTCTGGAAGGCTGGTGCTGGAATAAACGCCGCTAATCTTTAAGGTGCCCAGGGACTTAATGGTTTATTCTCCTTAGATGGTGTCATTCTCACGAGGGCTTTGGAAACTTTAACGTGTGTGTGTTTTGCCGTCAAGTCACGGCTGACCTATGGTGACCCCTCATGGGGCTTTAGAGGCAAGAGACGTTCAGAGGTGCTTTGCCATCGCCTGCCTCTGCACTACAACCCTGGACTTCCTTGGTGGTCTCCCATCCAAATACCAACCAGGGCTGACCAGGCTAAAAAACGGCGAACTAGCTCACACTCACTCGGCTTAGAGGGAGCACTGAAGTTTGCAACTTTCCCCCTGGTGACCGGGATCAGTTCCCTTGGAGGAAGTTGCTCCTTTGGAGGGTGGACTCCAGTGTTCCAGTGGAGTCTTGTGAGCAAAAATTCTGCTTTGTGAGCTACCGGCATTAAAATATTAAGCTTGTTAACACTGAAGCAGTAGTTAAAAATAACTCACAAGTATATTGTTATAGGTAAAGGTAAAGGTTCCCTTGCTCGAAAGCCAGTCGAGTCCGACTCTAGGGTTGTAGTGCTCATCTCCGTTTCAGGCTGACCTGGCTTAGCCTCTGAGATCTGATGAGATCAGGCTAGCCTGTGTGTGTGTCTAAAAACTCAGGTGGGTGGGGTGAGTCCCTTTTAAGATTGACCCATCCCAAACAAATAAAGACTGGCAGCCCAAGGTGAGCCTTTCCTTGGTGCTGGGTCACACAAAGCTCATTCGCATTCTTGGGTGCCTCTGTCCTTCTTTTACTTGAAGGCGCCAGCGTACGGCGCTCCGTCGCCCGTCGCCAGCTGCCTCCTTCTCGCTGACGCTCACTGCTGTCCCCCTCCCCGGTGCCACGCACAGGCCCCTAGCCAGGGTTTTTTAATTCAGGGGGGGTTTAAATAGGTCGGGGGGCGCCCCACACAGACACCTCCCCCCAAGGGAGCATCACAAATAAAATATTAGGAGTTGGAGGGGGGCTGGGCTGGATGGGAAGTCGGGGTAGGGTTTGGGAATAAATCGGGGAGGCGGGGCCTGAGACGCCCCACTGTAGCTACGGGCGTGCCTAGGGGCCGGGCCCCGAAAGTGCCCTCCCTTTCCCCCCCCCCCCCCCCCCCCCCCCGGTTGCAGGCGAGAAGCCGTTTGAGTGCAAGCTGTGCCACCAGCGGTCCCGAGACTACTCCGCCATGATCAAGCACCTCAGGACCCACAACGGAGCCTCGCCGTACCAGTGCACAATCTGCTTGGAGTACTGCCCCAGCCTTTCCGCCATGCAGAAACACATGAAGGGCCACAAGCCGGAGGAGATCCCCACTGACTGGAGGATAGAGAAGACCTATCTGTACCTTTGCTATGTCTAAAGGAAGGAAGGGACACGAGGAGGGACACGGACTGGGCAAAACCCCGAATCGACCTCGGCCTCACCCTTCCCTTCTTTCCCTTTCCCCTCTTCCTCCTTTCCCCTGCCTGGTTTCCGTTCCCGTAGGGTTTAGTCGTCTTCCTTCTGGCCTGCTGGTGCCCTGGGGAGAAGGGAAGGAGAAGAGGGAGGGTTCGGGAGAAGAAGGAACCCGTCTGAGTTCGGCCCTCACCCGTGGCTCAAGTGGTCCCACTGGGGTTTGGTGTCCCCCCTGGGCAGAAGGGTCTGGGATGCTGACCAGGAGGGTTGTCAGATGGTCACTCAAGGCTCCACCTGTGAAGTCCCCTCCCCCCCCCACCACCAAGAAACGATGGGGAGGGTTGTGTTGCAAAGGGTTTGGGGCCCGCTGTTAAATACGTCTTTTCCCGTTTCCATAAGCCAACCACCCACAGGGACAGGGAAAGGCACGCCAGTGCAAGAGGCTCCATTTTCAGGGGGAAAAGTCTCCAGAGGCCACTGTTCATGGGCATTCCTTTTTTGGATGCCGGGTGTGGCCATTTCGGTGCCCTAAAGCCTGTTAGTCACCCAGTGCCTGAGCTGGACTAGCTACCCCATCTAGACATGGAGCCGCTGTTGAGCAGAGAGGGGTAGGTCAGCTGGCTTTCTTTGCCTCAACAGTCCAGGTGAAAAGTACTTGTATTTCGTGGGATTTGGCCCCCTGCTTCTTGCAGGAGCGGGAAGGAGACCTTGCATTATTCTCGTAGTCTTCCCCTTCTCCCCGGGGGGTCAGCGTGGAGAGGGTCTCTCTCTCTCTGTCTCTCTCTCCCTTTTCTCTGTCTCTCCTTCTCTCTCTCACCCACCGTCCAGCTCAACCTGCGCCCCAGTCCCAAGCCACCTGTGTTCCTTCTTGTCCCTTGAGTCTTGACAATTGGCCAAAGGGGCTGTCACTCCCCCCCCCCAGGCCCGTGAAGTGTGCCGGCCACCTGGCTGTTCTGCCCAGTCCTCTGTCAGTGGCACCATCAAGATGGCTTTCCTTTGTCTCAGTGTTCGTAATGTTGTTGGGTTTTGTTTTTTTTGTTTTTAACAATGCTTTCCGCATTTAGCACATTGTACTTGAAATTACCTCGGTTTCTTGTGACCTCATGAGCTTATTTGTTTTCGCTTTGGGAAGGGGGGGGACACGTGTTTTGGGTTGATTGTCAAAAAGGCTGCGTGGAGGAGGCCGGGGAGGGGAGCGTTGGGGTGAAGCCGCCAAAGTGCCGCTGGGCAGCCGCTAAAGCGCCGTCAGCTCTGGTTTCCGTGTCAGCCTTATAATTTTTTATGTGTGTGCATTATTGTTACCAAAATTGGTATTTTGTTTTTAATGACCCGCTTGGTGTAAACGGGGGGTCGTATTATCCTGAAAGCTACCTCTTTTGTAGGTTTTGTTTGTTTGTTTTTATTTTTCAGTTACAAAGCACATATTGCAATATTTGTGTTCTTTTCCCCCCCCCCATTTTTTTTCCTTTGTGATGTTCATTTCAATCTTCATCTCATGCTTTATATTTGCAAATGTATATTTTATTTTGTAATTTAGCTGCATTTATATATGGGAAAAGAGTTTTTAGGGAAGCATTGTTGTGTAGATGGGAGAAAAGGGAATGGTTAGGGGGTGTCTGTGTACTGCTGTCCTTCCCCCTCTCCCCCCTCCTCCGTCCCCCCCAAGACTGTCTCAACTGCTGACAGACACTGAAGGCCTTAAATTGTGGGAGTGGGGAGAGAGAGCGCCTATTTCATTGTGACCGTTCAGAGAGTTGAAGCAGTTTAGTGGGAAAAAATAGCAATTTGGAAAAGGAACTTTTAAGGAAACCAGTTAAACTTGAATATGTGAATAGTTTAAGTAGAGCTTTGTTTATAATGTGAAAAGCAGATGACGGCATCTATCAAAGCAGATGACGTTAAAGCAAAATATGCAGTAAATTGACCAATGTCACACGTTGGCCAGAGACGGCCACCGGCACCTCTCTGTGCATTCCCAACTTTCCTCCCAGCCTGTCTGTCTCCTCTTCCACTCACCATTCACCAAGCTGAAAGTGTTGGATGGATAAATTATTTGCAAAATGTAATATTTTTGTAACGTTTGTTAGTCCTCTTGTGTCGGTTTTTGGCGAGATATTGTCCCCCCTCCCCCCTTCCTTTTGTAATGTGAACAGGAATTGGTTGTGGGTGTGCGTGGGCGTGGGCGTGGGTGTGAGTGGGTGTGACCTAGTATTAAATAAATAGCACTCGATTGGTGTTGTCCAGTGTTGCCAGATCGGATGGTACTGAATCAGGGTGAAATCGCAGCTTCCAAAGCACACTTGGGGAAACGCATTTGAGCAAGCCTTCGGGTTGGCCACCGTGGGTCTTCCCACGTTCAGGAGTAAGGATCGGAGGTCAGGGGATGGCGCTTGTTGCGATTGTGAAGTTGTGTGTCTGTACTGCAATCATCGTTTCTGCATCAGGCGGGTCTGTGGGGCAATGCAATCTTCCTCTGCATTTTTGTTTTGTTTTGTTTTGCGAGAATGTCAGCTCCAGCCCCGTGGTGAACATTGACGGAGCGCGAGTGAAACAGGGTCTGAACAGTAGAGAACAAAGTTAATTCCAGAAGAGGAAGCGACTGGTTGGACCTGATGATTGGGATTGCGTTCACTGGGTTGGAATCTAAGGGGAATACTTCCTCCCACACACCCTTTAAAGGACAGTCAGTTGGATGACGCCAGCCTCTTGGGGTGCAGTTTTCCTTGGCGTCACTGGCCATGTGAGTAACTCCCACATTTAGCCACTTTGTCAAGTACTGCTTATGGTACTGAGTTACACATGCCTTACAGATTCCCAGATTTCAAGTTCAAATCTTCCCCACCTGCCAATCCAGAAACCTGGTTTGTCTACCATATAACCTTTTTATGTTCTACACAGGATCCCTTTGCAAGTATATATCAATTCCTGGCTGTCTGTGCTTGCTGCTTTGGGAATAAGCTTCAGAAATGAAAGCATTAAGAAGTATTGTATACATAACGTGCGTGAGTGTGTGTTGGTGCGCGTCTGTGTGAGAGAAATGTAACTCTTTGCTGCTCTGTGGTGGGAAGTGAGGCGGGCTTTGCCTGGGTGCCATCCTCCAAGCGGCTTTTGGGAAATGGCTTGTTGGATCTTTGTGCCTGAAACTGGTGTGTGTTTTCTCCATATTTAAAAGAGGGGAAATGCTGCAATGTCTCACTGTTGTTTGGGTTGGACTTTCCTAGCTAAGGGATGTCATGGTATACTAGAGGATCCTGAATTCACAAGGGGGCATTTGTCTCTCCCCCCCCTTGACCCCAGTTCCAAACTTCCAGTCACTTTCCAGTCTCTCATGCCCAAAAGTTTCTCCTTTGTGCAGAACTCCTGCAGGTTAGAAAAGAAGAGAGAAGCTTGCGGAATTGTACTAATAGAGACAAGAATTTTGTCAGGTGATGGGTTGCCGGGCAAGTTTCCTATTCATCTCCACTCCTCTTGCCCTGCAGTTAATCTGCCATATCTGCCCCTGGTCCCCTCCCCTCCCAAACCTCCTGTTGTGTTTTGCTGTGAGCGTGTTCTGCTCAGTCACCTACTACCACAAAGGAGACCTGTAGGTGTAGGAGAGAAGACCTCAAAAAACCACCCTGGGCCCGTAACCTTTTCTGCATAGTGAATAAGTGCTCACCTGCTACCATGACATCCTTCAGCACTCGGGTGCCATTTTCTTGGCGTGCATCTTTGTATATGTTCTGCATAGTGTTGACGTGTGCATGATCTTTGGAGGCTAAGCAGCCAGGGTAAGTCTCCATGGCGTTTATGTTAATGTCTGTAATAGCACTGAGGACCAAGTTTGTCCTTTTGGACCAAGCAAAATGTAAGGCTTCTTCTGAATATTTTTTTTCCTGCTTGTCTCTTGACGTCGTGACAGCACAAGTGCCCGTGTGATTGCTTCGTATTACACAGAAAGAGTGTTTTGAAACGCTGTCCTGGCTCTCTACCTCAGCACCTCCTTTTAGCCTAATTTCAGAAGGTGCCCATTTTTTTTTGTTCTTTGTGGGGGGTGTTTTCCCCCAGATTCTTGGTTATGTATTTTTCCCCTGTACAAAATTTTCTTCTGTTTGTTCCTTTGCAGTACTGCTTGTGAGTCCCTGTTCTGTGTTCCTCTAGAATCACAGGTGCAGTTAGCTAAAAAAAATAAAAATAAAAAATCCGCGTGACATAATTCAGATTTCCCCCCATCCCAAGGAACGTTGTGCCGTCTTCTCCTAGTTGCTGTTCTCCACCTTTGCATCTGTTCTGTGTAGGGGGCAGGTGCAGCTCTTTGTAAAACTTCAGTGTTTCTGGCAGAGGGAAAAAAAGAGAAAAAAAGGTTTAAAAAAATTGACTGCTGCAGGTTTTTTTTCTCTCCATTTGTCACTAAGTGAAGTTTGTGCCTTCTATAGCAAAGAGAATATTTTTTACATCCTACTAACGGTAGATTTTTTTGTAGTGGACATTTTTTGTATTTTTATTTATAAGTCTCATAAGGAAAAATAGCAAATGTTCAGTTGTATACCTTGAATCTGCAGTTAGAAAAAGAAATAATAAAGTTAATTCAGTCGTTGGTGCGTCATGTCTCATTATTTTCTTTCCTTTTTCTTGACAGCAAAGCAAGGGACTCTAATTGGCCAGGTGCAATAGACGGACTTTGCCCTGTTCCCAAGGCCCGTCTGTGGCAGGAAGCAGGGAGCAGGCAGGGGAGTTCTTTGAGTGGACCGTCTTGGGGATCAAGAAGATAATGCAATTAAGAAAGCCAGGGCTCTAGTCGGGGGGGAGCTCTCAGGTACGGAGCTCCGGAAGAGAACCTCTAGGGGGCGGGGTGGTCACGTGATGAAGCCCCGCCCCCTTCTTTACCCCGCCCTCTGCTTCGATCCTCATTCCGTTTGGGAATGAGGATGAAGCAGGAGGGTAAGTATCCGGGCCTTCTGACACACTTCCGGTGATGTCAGGGGGTGTGCCCTTCTGTCACTTCCGGTGATGTCAGGGGGCGTGGCATATGTAAATAAGTTATGCTAATGAGTTATGCTAATGAGCTCCGGCAGCTCTTTTTCTACAACAAGACCCCTGAAGAAAGCTAATGCAATCTTAGGATGCATTCACAGAAGCCTTGTGTCCAGATCACGGGAGGTGGTAGTTCTGCTCTAGTCCGCTATGGTCAGGCCTCACCTGGAGTCCTGTGTCCAGTTTTGGGCACCACATTTTAGGAAGGATGTTGACAAGCTCGAGCGTGTCCAGAAGAGGGCAACCAGGATGGTGAGAGGGTTGGAATCCAAGTCTTACGAGGAAAGGCTGAAAGAGTTGGGGATGTTTAGCCTGGAAAAGAGAAGGCTTAGAGGGAACATGATTGCAGCCTTCAAGTATTTGAAGGGCTGTCATGTAGAAGATGGAGCAGATCTATTCTCTCTTGCTGCAGATTGCAAGACTAGATCTAATGGGTGAAAATCACAAGGGAGTCAATACCAGCTAAATATCAGGAGAAACTTCCTAACTGTCAGAGTGGTTGAGCAGTGGAAAGGTCTGCCTCGGGAGGTGGTGGAGGCTCCTTTGCTGGACATTTTCAAGCAGAGGCTGGATGACCATCTTTTGGGTATGTGGTAGGGCTCTCTTTCGGCTATGCTCCTGCAGAGTGCAGGGGGTTGGTCTAGATTGCCTGCAAGGTCCCTTCCAACTCTCACATTCCATGATTCTATGATTCTAAGACGAGATCCCCTGCTCTGCGCTTCGCATTTTAAAGGAGAAAAACTCCTCTTTCCCCCTTCAAAATGCTTATAGGAGAGCAGATTGCAGATAATAAAGCCAAGCGGAGGTTGAAGAGATAAACCCTTCTCCCTTTCTTTGGTTGCCCCGAGGCAAATTGAAGCTGCAGGAACCTGCAGTTTTCATGTTACTGAGATCCCTGATCTCATATGCACGATCCCTGAGACTCCAGAAATGTTTGACGTCCCAGAGGCTTCACGAAAAACCTGGGAGCAGATTATGGAACCCGGAGCGGACTCCATAGTCTGCTTCGGTCATGAGCCAAAGCGAACACCCACCTCAGCATGGAGGGGATGGTTTGCCCTTGCAAGTGAATGTTGACCATCTCCAGTGTTTACCTTCCACCTCGATTGTAAAAATAAACGACTCGATGATTTGCGTGGGGGTAAATTTTCAAAGCGCCTCTTTCCCCATACAGAACGATTCTCCGGAGCCTGAATAAATCAGGATGCATGGCCTTCTCAATGTGTCAAAGCCAGGGGTAACAGCCACACCACTAAAGGGAGTTGCCCTTCAAAAAAACCCAGTTGCACAGATGTGCAAAAAGCAAAGGACCTTCTCCAGCCGGCTGCCGATCGTCCAAGAGACA